GCAAACAGCTCAGCAGTGAACATCTGTCTAAACTGTAACCAAAGTGTAAGCAGGAGTCGACAAAACACAAGTTGTTTGTGATGTGGTACTCCAGAAGCAGCCATTCTGGCATTTTGTCTAGGGAATTGCCTGTGGTACACCGGGTGTGTCATGAGAACACGGGAGCTGGGGAGCTGGGGAGAATGACAGGCAGTTCACCATGGTGGGCTCAGACGCTGCACATGATGGACATAGTAGCCATCGAAGCCAGCATCAATCCCTCTCTGGGAGAAAGTAAAACAGGCTCAGACCTGAGAAAGGCAGCTTGTGGAGAATTGCAAGCAGGCCCACCATAGGCTGATTTTACAGACCATAGTGGGCTGAGTCATAAAAAGAAACACTAGATGAATTTTCCTCTTTGAAAAAAAAATCAAATTCTATGTGAGAGGTTTGTTTTGGAAGCCTCAAAGAAGTTTCAATAAGCTGAAAGTTTTATTTTACAGGCAAGCCCTTTGACAAAATCTCCATTCCTGCTGATCATTTGAATGGTTGACATTCCCCTGCATTAGCTGTCTTTAGAGTCATGAGAACTCTGAGGTCACCACTGCCCCCAGAAAGAGTGCTTCTGAACAAACAATTAGAGCTCAAAACTGTTTTTCCGCTAAGCCACCAGGAAGGCAGCGCCACTAAAGGCTTGCCTTCTAAGACATGAGATAGTTACTAGCCATCCCTGAGGGTATGGACCGTGCCTCTGGAATGGTCCTAAATAGCCCGTGAATGAGCCTGTGAGCGTTGGAGTGTTTAACAAGGCTGGTGAGTGGAGGGGGAGCAACAGGTCCTAAGCCAGGCTGCATACCCAGGAGTTACTCTCCTGCTGGCAATGACACAAGGGTTACCAAGGACAGAGCTTTCCAGCCGCCTGCCACAGAATATTCTCAGCTGTGCCAAGGGGCGATGCCCCTATACCTCACACAAACAGGAACATGGTCATCGGAGCCCCTGGGCACAGTCTCGGCTTGCTACACCATGACACCTAAGTACCGCTTTCCATGCCTGATGCTGGAGCTGGGGAGGGCGGTGATGGAGACGTTCAGTGACTAACATGTACTGGTGAGTTATAGCAGGCCAGGTCTCATCACCAAGCAGCCTGGGCCCCATCATCAGACAGCATAGATCTGGAGAGCACCTAATGATCAGCTGACAACACATCAGAGCTCCAGCCTCATTGGCCAGTTTTCTTTCTCTTATTAACTGAGTTCTCCGGCCATTCTGTAGGACTTCTGGCTTTCGATCAGTTTGGTCATAGGTGGCCAGCAATGTTATAACCATCTGTAAACTACTGTTTGATCTAAATAATTTTGGAAATGATCGCCCATACCCTGCTATATATGTACACACACACACACACACACACACACACACACACACACATATATATACCCTGTTATAGCTATAGCTATAGCTTTGTCAGGCAATGAAAACCTGTCACTTCTAGTTCAATGTTTATGAACCATTTGACATTCGCCATAAAACACATTATTTTTTTTAACTTATTTATGGGTCGCAGAGATGACTCGGCTCAGTCAGGAAAAGGCTTGCCGTGCAAGCATAAGGACCTGAGTTTGCTCCTCAGCCCTCATGTTAGAGGGCTGGTGTGGTGGCCCACTCTTATGATCCAAGCACTGGGTGGGGGTGGGGGATGGGGGTAGGAAGAAGGATCTCTTGGATGCTCTGGTTAGCCAGTCTAGTCAAACTGGCAACAGCAGCTTCAGTGAGAGATCCTGTCTCAAAAAGAAAACAAAAAAATGTGTCAAAGAGTAATGAGAAAGACACCCAATATCAACTCCTGGTCTCTACACAAAGGTACATGTGCACTCATGTACATACACATGAATACACACACAAAAATAAGCACACACCAAACAATGGCACGCATACCCTGGCCTAGCCACTGTTTCTTTGTTATGTCATTCATTAAAATGCATAGGATAACCATCCCTTGTTAATTGATTTAACAACATGCTGAGAACCTACCATTGGTCCTCCAGATGTGCGCTAGGTGCCAGAGGTGCTGGAGGAAATCCAGTAGCTCACCAGTCAAGAACAAGTGACTAAGGCACAGCTAGGCCAGAGTCTATGCAGGTGGGTGAAAAATTACAGCTCTTCCCCAAGGAGAAGGAACCATCCTACCTGGAGCCGAGGAGCCCAGTGCTGTCAGAGGGACATGCCCTCCCCCAAGGGTACGTCTGGGCTGTGAACAGCTGCAATTTCTTTCGAGTGTTTCACAGGCGTTATCTGATGTTGCTAGAGGATAGGGAAGAAGTGGTAGATAGACTCAAGATATCCATCACCACTTACAAGTCAGGTTGAGAAGGTCAGCGCTACGGGGGCTGTATATGGCTTTCTGGAAGGATTACATCCTGCAATTAAGGGAAGTGTCAATGAGGTTACATGATTTGCAAAATGCTGAGCGGAAAGGAACGGCCTCCACATTCCAGACAGTGTCCCTGTTCCTTCTCTGCTACACGATGGCCCGTCTCATTTCTGCAGCGATGGATACACATGTTCGTGTCGCTCTTGAAGCTCCCTTCATCTGCTCTGAAAGTGCTTCCGGGGGCCAGGAGTAATTTGCTCTCACTTCTAAATGTTTTCAAGTCTTTGGAAGTCAGCTGTTTCATTTTCAGTCTTCTTGGTAACATCTCTTTCTACCTCTCCCTCTTCAACTCTTGGCCATCCCAGCTGAGGCCTGTGAAGTACAGAGCGATCGGTCCTTCAGTTTTGCCTGTGTGAGAGGTACTTTGTACTTTCGCTTTGTTGTGTTCGGGCCATCAACTCTACTACATATGGTAATAGGTGGCCCTGGCCCACTTTCCTGGCTCTGAGCCGGCACAGAATCTGAGTTAGGACAAAGAAGCCAGGTCATCGTAGGCTCTACCTGATGAGAGAGCCCAGTCTCACTAGGCCTTCCTTAGCTACCCATCCCCAAACGTCTTCCAACGTCTACCTCTGCGCCTCTGGCTAACTGTTTAGCCACAAAAACATTTGAACATCCTAATAAAAACTTCCCTTTTCACGCCAGATAAATGTCCCCGTGGTTTACTAGACAGATGGACTTTCTTTGTGTCTATGAAGACTAACACGGGTTAGTGCACGGCACTTGTTGTGAGATCTGATATCCAGGACCCGGCCCAGGCTAAAGAGAAAACCCTTTTTTTACCCAGCGGGTTTGTGCTGTACAGGAGTGTAGCGACTGGGGGTGGGGAGGAAGAACGGTAAATTGGGAGTCAAGAGACCTAAAAGAGTCCCTGGCTTTTCTGCGATTAATGAGCCGTCTTGGTGAGCTGGTCTCTCTAGACAAGAGAGGTGGCATGATCTTGATGTCCTCATCCAGCTCTGAGGAATGTAAGCTTCGGCCACAGGAAGGGGGGTGGGTGGTCTCTGCGCTGCTCCACGAGGAAGGAGAAGCAGATCCGGCAGGGCTTCTCTTCCGGCTGGATAAACGCGCACTGTGCGCACACCTTGCTTCGTCAAGTGGTGAAGAGATATACCCCTCCGCTCTCACACTGCTGTCCTCAGAGACGTCCCAGGGCAAGCTGACAGCCCACGAATCCCTGCGCAGAGCTAACTGGCACTTCTAGGCCTCGGGAGTTAGTCAAGGCTGGGCTGTGGATACAGCGCTAGCGGGAGCCACGGCTGTAGGATGCCTTTTGTTGAGAGGGCGTAGACAAGACTTTCTTGCCTGCTCACACCTGCCCCACAGCTCCTGTTCCAGTCTGAGCTTTGTGAACAATGTCCCTCCATGAGCAGCGATGTGATCTAAATCTGGATCTTCAAACGTTTTTCAGCAGAGGAACATGTTAAAATGCAGGTTTTAAGTTAGTGGTTTTGAGGCAACACCTGAAATTCTGTGTTCCTAGCAAGCTCTCTTGTGGAATCTAGAAAACTGGTCTACAAACCAGACTGTTAGGTAGCAAAGACTGGATGGACTGGAAGCTAAAAGGCGCATGGTTCACTGGGTAAGATGCTACACAACTCCTAAGCCTTGCTTCCCCACTTTTGGAGCTAACAGTGCCTACCCTGTCCAATGGAGGCAGCTCTGAACAGGACAGAGTGTGCGGTGTGGAGGTCCCACTGTTGCAGCCGGCCACTGCACTGTCCTCACTCCGGCTGCACAAGAACCCAAGTAGGGCAGATCTAATCTGTGTATCCTGAGACTACCAAAGCCTCCCGCTAACAGACCTTGTGTGGACCTAGGAGCCCGCACTGTCATACGCAGCCCGGGTGATGCAATCCTGTCTGTGCCCAAGCTACACCGGGGCAAGTCTAGCTCCTACTGCCAGAGTACTCTCCCCATAACGTGGCAATTGAAGATGGCGTGATGTGTAAAGGATCTCTCTTGTAGCCACAAGTGTGTCCCAGAGATTTGGCCTCTCCTATATTGGGACTTGAAAATCTTTAATATACAGATAACTCAAGTAGGAGACCCTATTGAAGTGCAGATTCTGGTTCTACCAGTCTGGGGTAAAGCCTGAAATCATGAATTTCTAACAAGCTCCCACCTGATGGTAGCACTGCTCCAAGGACCAGACTGAATGGTTCTCGGCCCCAAACTGCACACTTCGGCCTTCTCTTACCTTTTCAACTGGCCTGGGATGGCCAGGCAGTCTTGGATGCAGCCTGCTTTGGAACCCTGTCGCAAAGAGGTCCACGTCATTGGCTGCAGGCAGCCCAGGGTCTACCTTACTCGCTCTAGTGTGGTTAAATGGGTCCAAGCCTGGTTCATCCATCTCCTAACCCAGATATAGCTTGGGTTTCTGTGGAGGAAAGAAGTGGCCATTGCAAAGGGAGGAGCGGGAGCACTATGCATTTTGTACACAGAGTCCTGAAGTTTCTCCTCCAGCCTCAAGCTGCACCACTCACTCCCCCTAGCTTCTGGATGTTATTCTCTTGGCTCCACACTTAGCTGTTATGGACAGGGACCCGGCGGCATGCTGACTTGTCTCTTCTTGCCCCCTGGCTAGGTGGCAGTGGAGAGCAGGCACAGGGAGCAGGCCCGAGGAAGGCGGAGGGCCCCGAGACCGTGCTCCCCAGGCGCAGGAGCGTGTTCCACATTGAGTGGTCATCCGTCCGGAGGAGAAGCAAAGGTGTGTACGTCGTCTCCCTCACACTCAGCTCCCAGCTCCCACCTCAACGCAGACAACAGTGCTACCCACTACACACACAGTGTCCTTTAACACATGACCTCCGGCCAAATCCACAGGCTTCCTATATCTGGACACACCCAGCCTGACGGGGAAATAATCCAGAACAAGTGATGGGCTTCCACAGGGCCAGTGAGAGGTCTCAACTTGGCTCTGGAATTACCTTCAACCCGTTCCTACAGATTTAAATTTAACCTATCAGGAATACAGCCTGACCAGCAGCAGGATCTTTCAAGGCTCCTAGTGAGATTGGAATTCATCGCCAATTTATAAAACACTGGTCATGCCACACGTGGTGTGACTGCCTCTAACATCAGCACTCAGGAGGCTGAGGCAGGAGGACAGCCAGAGGGACTCTATATGGAAACCCCCTCAAAACAGAGATTTAAAAATCCACCTGTCCAGAAGGCTGATAAAAAGTTTCCACTGTGACAGTGACAGCTGTGAGGAGTGTCCAAGGAAAGGAGAGCAGTGGCTCGAGGTCCTCCATAGACCACGCCTTCCCCAGAAGGCAGCCAGAGCTGGGCAGAGGAGGGCACCCCAAGCTTGAACCTGGAAATCAAGGTCAGATTCCGGAAAATACTGAGGATCCTGGAGGGACAGATTGTCCCAGCCAGCTGAGGGATGGAGAAGCCTCTAGCTAGACAGGATGGAGTGTAATCTAATTCCACCACAGCCCCCAGAGAGGAGGCAGAAATGCCATGGCCACACAGCCAGCCAGCCGGTTATGCAGGGGCCCTGGAAGGAAGAGACTGACCCCTGAATTAATGCCCCTCATGTCCCTCACCTCCCAGAAGCTACCTCAGTGCCTGGTTGTCTTGCCATTTTCCAGTCTCATCCATTCATACGCCAAGTTAGCTAAGTCAGAGCAAAGGCCTAGTGTGGTTATGGGAAAACCTGCAAGTAGAAAGGGCAGCGCCGGTCTCTGAGGGGGGCTCCTGCGTGTGGAGGAGGAGGGGAATGCTGCCTCTGTAAAGAGGGAAGTCAGTCCATGGGAATGGCTGAAGCCTGGCAGGCTACTGCAGACAGAAGCAGAGGGTCAGAGGTTGACTCAAAGGAGAGGTCACACACACGAGCCTCAAGTTCAGAGGCTTCCTCCATTTCCGCTTTTGAAAGCTTCCAAAATGTACCCGTTTCCCTAAGGGCAGTGGTTCTCAATCTTCCTACCGCTACAACCCTTTGATACAGTTCCTCATATTGTGGTCAGCCCTAACTATGAAATTGCTTTCATTGCTACTTCATAACTGTAACTTTGCTATTGTTACGAATCCCCATGAAAGGGTCTTTTGATCCCCCACAGGGGTTGAGACCCACAGATTGAGAACCGCTGAAGTGCTTCCAAACCACACCAGTGTTTGTAGCCCCTGCCGCTTCACAAGTGGAAAAAGAGCTCCTTCGGTCCGTCCCTTCTAGCGCTTAGACACCACAACACATGTAAATGCCAGACCACAAACAGAAAGGCGAGCCCAGGCTGCCATTCTCATACTTAACCACCGGAGGGCACCAGAGTACCAGTTCCAAAGCTTCAAAGGGCCTGATCTTTCCAAAAGGACTTACCCGAGAAAGACCATCTTTAAAAATGATCCAGCCTAACAAATAACAAGGAGTGAGCTTAACTTGGTTTGGACAATAATGCAAAATGGCATCTCATTTGGCCGGCTTACAGAGGTAGGCTCTAAGCCAGTGCTCCAGCCCTGTTCATGGAGCCCCTTATCACTGCTTCTTCTTCAGAAATCTTCCTCTTCATGCTTGGTGTGTGTACAGCTCTTGATGCCGTATGTAAATCTCTCAAAGATTAGAAAGAATAGGTGCCCCTTCTTGTATCAAAGTAAATAAAGTATTTTCTGCAAGCCTTTTTTTTTTTTAAATGATCCAGCCTAATAATGGAAGATGTTTAGAGTCACATGACAAGAATGCTATTGAATTACAAGGGCACAAGGTCATATAAAAATCCATTTCCGGCAACTACATGGATAGCATCTGTCCTGATACAACTACTAAAATGCAAAAATTCAAAGAAAAATTATTAAAGAATTTTCTTTATTTTCTGCATTTAACTAGTGTTTCTTGACCAAGCATGGGGGGAGGTTATTTAGTAGAGGAATGGTAACTTAGCAGTTAGACCAGGAAGCATGTGTGGCCACCACGAAGTTAAAAATGGGTATCATTATAGCTGGGCGTGGTGGCACTCACCTTTAATCCCAGCAATAGGGAGACAGGAGCAGATAGATGAGTATGAGACCATCTTGTGCTTCATAGCAAGTTCCAGGACAGCCAAGGCCACACAGTGAGATCTTGTCCAAGAAGGAAGAGGAAAAGCAAGGGGAGGAGGAGGGAGAGAAGGAAGGAAAGAAGGAAAAAAAGAAAAAAAGAACAAGAAAAAATAAAAACAAAAACAAATACCATAATCAAAACAGGAAGGGGGAGAGTAAGAGAGGGAAGAGAATAATTTAAAATCATCTGCCCAGCTCATTGCCAAGCTCAAACCCAGCTCCTGAGTGTCTCAGGTCGCCCATGACTTTATGACCGATGAGCAAAGGGCCATTTCCTTTCTTTTTAAGGGTATTTGTATTGGGTCTAGAGAGATGGCTCATGGCTAAAGTGCTCTTGCAGAGGGCCTGGGCTTGATTCCCTGCACACACATGGCAGCTCACGACCATCTGTAACTATGGGTCCATGGGATCCAGTGACCTCTGTGGACACCAAGCATGTATGTGGTGCAAGCACATATTTGTAAGCAAAACACTCACACAAAATAAAAATGAATATTTAAAATGTTTTATTAATTCTTTGACAATTTCATAATGTTTTACTGTCATATTCCCCCCAACTTCTTCCCCTAAGTCCTCACAGATTCACTTTCCACCCTATATCCCCCAACTTTGTGTCCTCTTTTTCCTTTTTTTTATATCCTTTATATAACCCATCAGGTCCAATTTGTGCAGCCCATAAGCTCCTGAGTAGGGGGCCATCCACAGCAGTGCAGTTGGCTTACTGGGGAATATGCTTTGTTAAAGAACCAACTCTCCTGTTCCCAGAAGCCCTCACCTGCACATAGCAGCTCCCCAGTTAGGGATGGGGTCTCTACCCCTTCTGTGCTAGAATGTTAATGGGCTTGGTTTTGTGCAAGCAACCACAGCTGCTGTCAGCTGGTGACAGTCCTACCATGTCCAGAAGGTGCCGTTCTGCTCGGATCCTCCCAACCTCTGGCTTTTGCAATCTTTCTGCTCTTTCCTACTCAATAGTCCCCAAGCCTTGGGGGATGGTGTGGGATACAGATATGCCCCTGTGGCCAAGCAGTCTTCTGACACTTATTCTCTGTATTAGCCACTGTCCATCCCACGCCTACTCCATTTTTGTGCACCTATATGTCTCAATGAGATACAGAGAAGCCACTGTCCCTCTAGGCTACTATTTCCTCATCTAAAATACAGAGGTCAAGCTGAATTGAGGCATCTTGATTAAGATGCTGGGGTCTCTGAACTTCCTATATTCCTTCAGGCCCTCTTTACATGAAGACATGCAATTCCTTGAATAGAAGCCCCCAGGTGGGCCTGACTGATAAAGGAAAAGAAGCGCTCTGATCCATAAGAGTCCATGGTTTTATGCTTCTTCACTGGAATAGAAGATACCAAATGGTCTAACCCTTTTGAGAAATAACTGCCAAAATGCCAAACGTGGGTGTCTGAACTGATGGTTCTCTCTCTTTCCCTCAAACTCCAGTGTTTGGAAAAGGAGAACACCAAGAGAAACAAACCAAAGAGCCAGTTCCCTACCCATACCGGAAGCCCACAGTGGAACTCTTTGTGAGTATGGCAATCCTGAACCATAGCCAGCGCCTGCAGCCCAAAGCCCACAGAAGGTTGGGGAGTTTGGGTCCACCAAGGAGGCTCTGATTTAGGCAGATGTCTCTTGGAGTTTGTGTTTCCAGAACTCAGTGTAGTTACATGGATTTTTTTTTAATGTCTATTTTTCACAGTTTGCTTTGTGAACTGTCATACCTTTTCAGTTGGGTTATTTATCATCGGTTTGTACTTAGAAAATAAGATATTGCCTGTTTATTTTTCTTTAAGAAAATCTTAGTGTATTTGATCTCATACCTCTGTGTTTAAATTTCAAAAACTTAGATTGCTAGGGAAAAATAACTTATTTTAGAAAGAATGTAAGACTGATTTAAAAAAAGAAAGAAAGAAAGAAAGAAAGAAAGAAAGAAAGAAAGAAAGAAAGAGAAAGAGAAAATCTAGACATCTGTAACTAAATCTTCATCCTACCATTTGACTTTGACCCTGGCAGTAAGAATGTGTGCATGCCTGAATCCTCATTCACGGAAGGGTGAAGATGCCATTTCGTTCTACCTCACCGAGGTTGACAACATCAAATAAGATGACGTGTCAAATAAAACAACCTAAAGAGACAGACGGGTGGTTAAATGGCAGTGCAAAAAAATCTAAAATGGAAATCTAAGCTTGGTTCTCCCACAGAGCCTTCAAAATGTCACCTGGTGTGAAACCCATAAAAATTTGGAGCATTTTTACCTATTTCTGGTCTCTGGCAGGACCTAGACACCATGGAGGAGAGCTCTGAGATAAAGGTGGAGGCTGGCACAGCCAGGACTTCCTGGATTCAGAGCTCCATGGCTGCTGGTGGGAAGAGAGTCAGCAAAGCCCTCAGCTACATCACAGGAGAGATGAAGGAATGTGGAGAGGGACTTAAAGGTACAGTCTGTGACATCAAACCGACTCAGGCCCCAAAGTGGTCACTTCACTCACCCCCTGCAAACATGCTGCAGGGCTTCTCTGTAGACCTGTCTGAGATCTCTTTCTGGGGCCTCTCAGAGAAGCTCTTTCTGCCATTAAAGCAGGGAGTCTCCTCAATATTTGTTTTTTGTGTTTTTTTAATTTTATTTTTCTTATTAGTTACATTTTGTTAACTCTGTGTCCCAGCTGTATCCGGCTCCTTCATTCCCTCCCCAACCCCACACTCCCTCCCTGGTCTCCTCCCTGCCCCTTTCCAAGTCCACTGATAGGGGAGGACCTCCTCCCCTTTCATTTGACCCTGTTTTCCTCAATATTTGTAACTGTGCTGTAAGGATGGGCAGGTGTGCAAGGTCTTGTTTCTCCATAGAAGGGTTCTGCTGGCCCAAAAATACCATCTAAGTAATGCAGACAAGCCCTGGCATTCTGAATCCAGCATTCAAGACAAATATCTGCTGAGTGGCTTAGGGAAACTGTATCTACAGGGCCAGCGCCTGCTCTCTAGAAATCCCACATTGCTTGGTTGGCTTGTGGGTTTCATACCCTCTGTGCAGCAAGAGAATTTTCTGGAAATTTTATGCCACTCTCATGGGAAGCAGAATTAGGCTCACGGTACGGGAAAACCAGCCTAGAGACTAGTGGAGGCTGACTCTGGCTAGCAATGGCTGGCAAGTGCTCTGGGCATTTGAATGCAGCCCTGGGTTCTTTGTTTAGCTTCTTCCCTGACGGATGAAAATTCATGCTGGTCCTCTGAAGATCCTCCCACCAATTGCCACCCAAGACCCGGGCCAGGCCTGACCTGCTCTGAGCATTTGCTGGCCTGTCATTTCAGACAAATCTCCAGTGTTCCAGTTTCTGGACTGGGTGCTCCGCGGCATGTCCCAGGTGATGTTCGTGAACAACCCTCTCAGCGGTGTCCTCATCACCCTTGGCCTCTTCGTGCAGAATCCCTGGTGGGCCATCTCCGGTTGCTTGGGCACTATCGTGTCCACCTTGACTGCCCTTGTCCTGAGCCAGGACAGGTAAGTCCCCAAGGCCCGGCCCTCTAGCATAAGGCCTAGGGGCCACTCCCTAGGAAGACTCCCCAGACTCCTCAGCACTATGGCACTCTTCCTTGAACAGTGAAGTGTAGAAGGGTGTCTTTGCTCTCTCCTCCCAAAGGGTAGCCTGCTTGAAGATGGGTTGTCGGGCCCCAAGTTAGAAAAGCATGACTCAGAAAAGCAGTTAAAAGTCACGGGAAGGCCCCTCGTCCACCAGCATGTGCTTGTGTCCTCAGGTCGGCCATTGCGGCGGGACTCCACGGCTACAATGGGGTGCTTGTGGGGCTCCTGATGGCTGTGTTCTCAGACAAGGGCAACTACTACTGGTGGCTGCTGCTCCCTGTCATCGCCATGTCTATGACTTGGTGAGTTTACTTCCGAAACTTATGCACATGCAAGTGCATTCGTGCTTGTGTGCCTGACGTGCTGTCGTGTCAGACAGCATGTCAATGGTTGAGATGAGAGGTTGACCCCCAGTATTGCTATTACTCTCCACCTCGTCTTCTGAGGAAAGGTCTCTCACTGAACCTGACCACTGCTTTAATGAGGCTAGCTGGCCAGAGGTCACTGGATCCCATGGAACCATAGTTATAGATGGTCGTGAGCTGCCATGTGTGTGCAGAGAATCAAGCCCAGGCCCTCTGCAAGAGCACTTTAGTCACTGATCCATCTCCCTAGACCCAATAAAAATACCCTTAAAAAGAAAAGAACTGGCCCTTTGCTACACTTGCCTGGCTCAGCCCCCAGCACGGGGGGTTACAGACACAAGCTGCCATGCCCAGCCTTTTACACGGGTACTGGGATCCAAACTCGGGTCCTGATGTTTGCTTCCTAACCCTACCTTTTAACTGCCACTTTACTTCCGTTTTAAAGTGCTTGTTTGGCATGAATGTCAGAAATACCCACAGGAGGCAGTTACTAACAAACTGCACGTGCCAGGTCACCCGTGTGCAGTACCTCCCCAGCTTATCCTGCTTTAAGATCACAAAGGCGGTTAGTCTTGCCTCACCGGAACATAAAGCAAGAACTTGCCGGCCACGTACAATAAGAACTGCAGAGTCCTACCAGTGTCTGGAAGTCTCATCCCTCCTGCCCTGCCAAGACATTCTCCTTCCCTTAGACTGCTGACCAGACAGAGACAATCTCTCGGGGTAGGCTGAAGGCCAGCCACGAGGCAGAGACCTTGCAGTACCAGGCTTCGCCCTCATTTCCAGAAAATGAAGGGTAGTCTGTCCATGAAATCGGAATCCTTGTCTACTCAAAATGTATTCATGACTGTAATTCTCTCCTTTTCTTCTCCAAAACTTTTCTCACTCCTCCTGCCTAGGGGATAGCGTTCTAGGACTCTTTGGGGAAACCCCAGGGCTCCCCTAAAAGGCACCTTTCTGAGGTTGAACCTTCCCTAGTATCTGTGTCCTGCTCAAGAAAGACCACGGAACAGCTGCCAGCAAGCTGCTTTTCTCTGGGGAAAGTAGGGTTCTTTGCTGCTGTGTGCTCTAGCGCCAAGACAAGCAGCACCTGACATGCATCTTTTGCTCGTTTCCTATACCAGCCCCATCCTTTCCAGTGCCCTGAGCACTGTCTTCAGCAAGTGGGACCTCCCCGTCTTCACTCTGCCCTTCAACATTGCCGTGACCCTGTACCTGGCAGCCACAGGCCACTACAACCTCTTCTTCCCCACAACGCTGCTGCAGCCTGTAGCCGCCACACCCAACATCACCTGGTCGGAAGTCCAAGTGCCTTTGGTAGGTATCATGAAAGAAGGAAGGACGGCATTTCTACAACTTGAGCGGCAAACTGAATTTACTCATTTTGTACATGAGAAACATAAGCAAATGATGGTTATTCACAATTACACAGAACAAGGCGTTCTACACATGTAGCCTGAGAGATACTGCCCTTGTCTCTTCAGAGCTAAAAGTTCTGTTTCTGGTCCCACCCCGTGATAACACAAAGAAAGCAGCCAAAGACAAGTTAAAAGACCCATCCAAGGTTCCACAGTAAATTAATGAAGAACAAAAGTCAAGGCTAGCACTCCCACCCCGACATGTGGCCTGGGCTCTTTGCTGCTTTCCTTTGTTGGAAAGCCTTTTGGATGTTCAAGCCCAGTCTTAAGATACCTATACGGTGTGTTTTCTTTCATTCATTGCACTGAGTCATTAAAGTACACCCAGCACGCCTCTACCCCCTGGCTTAGGAACTCACCGTGGCTTATTCTGTTCTCTCCATGAACCTTGCTCAAGTTTTAAAGCACACATTTTCCTCCATTACAAAACCTAGGTAGCAGAGATTCTCATCTTTTTAAAGTATTTAATTGTATAATGCTGACCTCTGGCAGCCTGCCAAGATAGTGAATTAGAAGCAATACTAAAAGTATTAAACTAGATGGGAAAATATGCTCATTAGGCTTCTTATCTAAGTATGAACTTTTTTCCCCCTAAGACCTCTTACTCTCCATTACATTAAAGGGCTTCCTGTTCCACTCTGTAGCTCAACCTGGGGCATCATTATTGGCAGTTTGTTGCCACAAAGCCATTTGGGCTTATTAAAGGGACTGTGAGAAGTAACGATGCCCAGTGCCTCTCCACATTCTGTGGCGTTGTCAATACACTGCAAATACACTGAGAGGTACCGCTATTCAGACAAGGCGACATTCCTGTCTTACCCTTGGCCATTGTTGTATGAGAGAGAGAGAGCCTCCGTGGGCCAGAGGCCAGAAAAGGGACCGAGTTGGTGAGTCACTCTGCTCAGAGCACCATGAAGCGATAACGTTAGAAAGCATAAACTACTGCTCATTATATTCTCAATTAAAATATTTTAGACTTTTATAGAAATGAAAAATGTTTAATAATCCTATATGAATAGTTTAGACCATCACCACCATCCCCAAAGATTAAGAAAATATCAATTTTTTTATCAGCCATTCTTGAGGAAATAACTTCCTGGGCTATGATAAGGACTTGTGTGTTAAGATTTCCAATTAAAACTTGTACTTTGTGTTAAAAAAAAAAAATGAGCAATGGATATCGGAAAGAGGAGCCAGAGATTCCATCAGTGTTGAACGACCACTGAGGAGACTCCCCACAGGGTACAACTAGGGGATAAAACAGCCATGTATCATTGCCTGTGTGTGTGTGTATGTATGTATATATATATATATATCCTGTCCAAAAAAAAAGTGTTGGTGAGGGGCTTTGATGCAGAGGTGTGAGCTGACTGTCTACTTCTAAACAAGCAAATGACCTTGTCATTCTACAGCTTCTGCGAGCCATCCCAGTTGGGATTGGCCAAGTGTACGGCTGTGACAACCCCTGGACTGGAGGCATCTTCCTCATAGCTCTATTCATATCATCACCTCTCATTTGCTTGCATGCTGCCATTGGATCCACCATAGGGATGTTAGCAGGTCTGTGTCATCACGTTTAATGTCATCCTCTTTAATGAGCTATGGGGGGTTAGGAAAATGATGACCATCTCTCACATCACACCTTGCTGAATCCTGGAAACTTCCTCTTCCCCTCATGCCCATTTTCTGCACTTTCTGTGCTAGCGTCCTCAAGAAAGACTGTACATTAACATTTAACCCTTGGGATGAGTGTAAAGTCTGAGAAAGCTTTAGCCAGATATAGTTAAGGGTGGTCTCCAATGACAAAATGGAGGGTGTGGATCACAGCTGAAGTTTCTTCTGTGTGTGGTGAAGAGAGGACATTCTCTGCACTGTTTAAATCAGACCCATACTCCAAAGGTCTCTTCCCCTCCCAACAGGTCAGCCCCCTAGCCTTCTTACAGGTCTGTCCCTTTATTTTCTTTAGATGGATTGTCACTGAATAAAATTGAAATTCCTCTTTGTGAAAACCTGACAGTGATGATGTCCGATTCTGGCTTGAGGACTGGGGTGTGTTTCTGGAAGGCAGAGGAGCCCTGTAGAATACTCACCGCCTGTGCTTTCCCTCCCCCAGCACTCAGCATCGCCACACCATTTGACTCCATCTACTTTGGCCTGTGTGGCTTCAACAGCACGCTAGCCTGCATTGCCATCGGAGGCATGTTCTATGTCATCACCTGGCAGACCCACCTGCTTGCCATTGCCTGTGGTAGGTACCACTCATAGAACCCCCTCCTGGCCACGGAAAAGACCTGTGCAGACCCCTGCAGAGAAAGCTGCCGCTCCCCCAAGGATAAAAGGCTTTAAAAAGCTTTTGGTTGGTACTGTCCTTTGTGTCTTCAACTCTTTTCATGGCACACCTGATGACTGGCCACTTGGAGGCAGAGATGATTTTGTTGTTGTTCCTCAGAGGCAGTCTCCTGGAACTGCTGCTCTCCTGGCTGTGATGGAGCCGGGAGAACAGCTCTCCAGTGTTAACCCTGGGCAACACACACCTTGCACGGTGGCCAGAGCTAAGCGTCAGGCATTGACTGTACCCCCTTCGGTTGAACGCCTTTGCATATTTGTTCACCATCGCAGGAAGTTAGGATGATGGCCATAGCTCAGCAGATTTATGTATTCTCAACCTATATATTCTCTATCCGCCTTTATTCTTTCATGTTCTACGAATGGAAACAAATAAAACTCTTTTTGACCAAAATATTTAAAACAGAGCTTCTATTTCAGTATAGCCATGGATGCTAAAATGTTGCCAAATAAGGTTCTAGAGAATAAGTTTACAATAAAAAAAAAATTATAGTATTTTTCCTAATACAGAGAAGCTTCCTGAGCCATATACAGTCACATATTTGTTTCTTTAACACAATTTGAAGGGACACTTTCATTTTATGACCACCACTGCAAAGATGGGAGAACTGAATTCTAAAGGGTAAAGCTGGAGGCTTTTTTTTTTCTATCTTCTTAAAAAGTATTTACTGACAGGAGCTCCACAAGGACAGCAACAGAACCAAAAACTCTGGGCAAAGGGGTCTTTTCTGAGACTGATACTCTAAACAAGGACCATTCATGGGGATAACCTAGAACCCTTGCACAGATGTAGCCCATGGTAGCTCAGTATCCAAATGGGTTCCCTAGTAAGGGGAACAGGGACTGTCTCTAACTTGAACTTGGGGGCTGGCTCTTTGATCACCTCTACTTGGGGTGGGGATAGGGGGCAGCCTTCCCAGGCCACAGAGGAAGACAATGCAGCCAGTCCTGATGAGACCTGCTAGGCTAGGATCAGATGGAAAGTCTGTATTATTATTATTATTATTATTATTATTATTATTATTATTATTATCACTCTCTGCAAGGGACATACCCAAGAACAGGGCTAGGACAGCATGACAGAGGTAAGGCAGCTTAGATGGTGCCCAAGGTCAGGGTCATACAGGTGATGACTGACAGATTGCAGGTGCCTCCCTCACCATCTCCAGTGCCGATCTTGTCAAAGAAGTTAAGTGGCTCTGTGTCATATGTGACCCAGTGGTTCTCAGCCAGGGACATTTTAGCAGTGTCTGATAACGCTTTCATTTGTCACACCTGCTCTTAGCATCCTGTCTGGGGTAGTATTAAATATCCCATAGTGCACAGGAGAGACCTGACCCATCGCAGACTGCCTTTGCTACTACAGCTGTGAGACGTGGTACATGGCTTCTCATTTCCTCCCCTTACAATCCTGCAGTATGTGGACATTGTTCCTGTCCCCATTTCGCAGATGGGAAACTAAAGCTAAAATGAACAAAACAAATTGCCCAGCCAGGTTTGTAAAAGCGTGCTCTTAACATGGCTTCCGCTCTTTCCCATAGCCATTTCTCCCACATCAGGGGAAAGGCCCAGAGAAGTAAAGCCTTTTCCGGTAATCACACAGGCCATGGTGGGTTAGACGGGCACGGAGGAAGATTTCTTCCACCGCAGTCCATTCCACCACTTCCCCAGGACAGATTACTCTGCACACACACCTGACAGGCTACAATTTCGGATTCTTCTCTTTATGTTCGACCTCTGACCTCTGCAGTTTTGTGACTGCAAGTGAGCACACACGAGGCTTTTGGGAAATCTTGATATAATGGATCCAAGTTTGACTAAAATAACAGTGGGGCCGAGGGAGCATAGGAATGAATCCTTTGGCTGTGGAGCCCAGGGATCAAGGGGGCAGTTGGGTAGGGCTAGGCTCAGGAAGGCCGCTCTCTGAACCTCTGCTCTTCACAAGCCAAGGCTGGAGCTGCCTGCGGATCATACAACTCCCCTATATTCTGGGGGGGTCTGTGGTACCTGGATTGGCCCCTCTACTGTACTCTTTCTAACCTCATAACATCCTGAGAAGCTGCAGTTCACAGCAGTTAAGAGCTCACCCTTAGAACTAGATGGTCAGGGCTCTGCCGCTGTCCGACACAACCCTAGGCAGTCACCTCAGATCGCAGCGTCTGACACAAGAGGTTCTCACTTTGTGGGACTACTGACAAGGTGAAGGCAGATGAGTGACTGATGCAGGAAGAGTTATCTAGGAAGAGCCTGAGAGATGCCATCCTGGGTACCTATAGTCAAGGAAAGGGTGTCGGGGACTCCGGGTCTTCTAGGGGAAGCAGGCTGCAAGGTGGGACACAGGAAACTGTCGCCTGCTGCAGACTCTGTGTCATATCATCTGTCCCTTAACCTCTTCTGCTTTGTCATCTCAGATCCTTACCTCGAAACAGTGGGCTTCAACTCCTAGCCATGGGGAGCACTGTTATTATTTAATCTGTCTGGTCTTGTTTTGGTTTTATTTATTTGTGTTGTTGTTGGGGGGGGTTGTTTTTTGGTTTTGGTTTTTGTTGTTTTGGGGTGCGTGTGAGTGACAGAGAGAAAGGAGAGTTTGGAGAGAGAGAGAGAGAGAAGGAAGAGAGAGAGAGAGAACACTGCTTAACGAGAAGGAATGCTAAAGAATATGGCTGGTGTTGCCCCTGGCTGGGCATACAGTAACTCTAAGAAAAGTTAGCTATTCTTAGTATTTTAGGGGCAACTGGGACAGTCTCTTTTGAGAATGGGCCCAAAAGCAAAGCCCAGTCATGTTGGTCCATTTTATTGCCTTCCTTTTCCTCCCAGTGCTTGGTTCTCCCCAGGAGTCAACATGTTCGTGGCCTTCCCTGCACAGCCCAAAACACAAAGCCTTTGGCAGGTTTGATGTCCCCAGACTTACAGGATGCTGTTTCTCCTGGAACCCCATGTTATGCTAACAGCTCCCAATGGAATATCCCAACAGGGAATTCCGAGGCTCACTTGCTTTTGCTTCACTGTAAAATTTTCATTTCTGGTCGATACTATTACATGTTCCTTTACTGGAAAGGATGGTGATGGGACCCAAGAGAACTGTCACAGCTAAATGCTGGCCCTTTTTAACAAAGTTCATCTGCTATCTTAGCTGTGCTGGCATTTCCGTGGAATTTAATGCTTTTTAAAGCCTCAAGGCAACAGGAATGAAACTCAGTTTGGGTGAGAGATGCCATCTGAGACATAAAATTAATGAGGAGGGAATATGGAGATGAAGCTGAGCTGCTGTTGCATCTCACTAAGCTACTTGTGCTTGGTTCTTTTTCTAGCACTGTTCGCAGCCTACCTGGGTGCCGCCCTGGCCAACATGCTGTCTGTGGTAAGTCACGTGGGCCACAAACCTCATGCCACCTCCACTTTCCAAATGCTGCATTAAGCCCTCGGTTCTTTGGCTAACATCCTGCTACCCACCTGAATACTGCCAAGAAGGAACTGGGTCTCAATAACTTTTGTGTCAACTCTGGGTGAATCAAATCCATCACCAGAAGACAGTGGAGCACTATGAAGAGTAAACCTTTCAAATATAACTCTATTCTAGTCTGCTATCCTACAGAACTAATTTTAAATCTTTATTATTTAACTTGTGCACATGTGTAAATTATCTGCCCGCCTGGCTTATGGACAGCATACATCTGTATCCCTTAGCAACTAGCATGGTTCATGGAGAGCTCTGGTCCCTGGCAATGGCTTCAGAGAACAGAGACCTGTGATCTAGTCATCCAAAGCGAATCCTAAGCTTATGGGCACAAATTGTTCCCAGAACCTCTTCTTTGCCTTGGGCCCAGTTTAGGATGGTGTGCAAAGCAGGAGCTGCCACTTGGCTCAAACAGGCCCAGCACAGAGTGAGTGCTCAGGGCTTACCTAATGAATCAATCCATCCGAACCCACCAAAGAGTACAAGCACTACTTCACATGGGCAACTGTTACTCAACTTGGAGTAGCGATCTGAATATCCCAAGAAGTCAAGTTTCGCCACCCATTCTTGAAAAGTGAACTTAAAACAACCAAATTAATAATAATAATAATAATAAACAGGAAAAGGAAATGTGTTCAAGAGATCACATCCAAAGACCTTCTAGGTCTCTGTGATCTGGCTGGAATACAAACATGCCTTTAATTCAGGAGACAGAGACAAGCAGATCTGAGTTTCAGGTAAAGAAAAGCTCAGATCCAAGCATAGTGGTACTTGCCTTTAATCTCAAACAATGAAGATAAAGATAGTTTGTAGAAGAAAGCACCCATGTTTGAAAGTGATATCTAGTTGAGTGGCAGAAGCCATGACGAATCAGAGAAAGACTTGACAGAATAAGATATGGCCAACTCTCACAAGAAGAAAGAGGAAAGGGAAGGTGCTTAAGGGGCAATGCAGAGAGGGAGGAGGCAGTTTTTACCAGGACAGTAATGGAGAGACAGGTTGCAAAGAAAGAACACAGGTGAAGATGGAACGAGCCAGAGAATGAGAAGGAGCCAGAAGATTAGAGCTGATTGCTGGAGTTAGAGGCCAAACAGAGCAACTCAGAGGCCAAGAAAAAAGCCAGATCGAATAAGTTAGCTGGGAGAGGAGTTTGAGCCAGAACAGCTGAATTGCACCAGGCATCCCAGAACTCAGAAAGAACAAGAAAGAGTAAGCTTATTCAGCATTAAGTCTCAGAAGCCGAAAACACTCTAGGCCTAGCTTGGATTGTATGGAGGCTAGAAACTTCCAGGACTAGGCCTAGGTTAGCAGAAGAAGGCAGTAACCTCTGAGACAACAATTGAACCAGGAGAATAAAAGTTCCTTTTACACTCAAGCGCATCTTCTTTAGATCCTAAAGATGAAATGAGAGTTTAAAGAGGGCTGGTGCTATACACATGTATAAACAGTCACTACTGAACCATCATTGTCTGGGCTTTAGCCTCATCTGGTAAGATGATGTAACAAGTTGTAAATCTCTCCTGAAGACCAGACCACACCCCCATCTCCATCCTGACATCTTATCCAGAATGAGACTCTTGGGGACATTTCCATTTCTTGAGATCTGTTCTTTCAATATCCCAGTAGATTGGCAGTCACAGGTATCTCTTTAGGGTATATTCAGTTCTACCAGGCTGGTTACCCACGCAGAAAAAGTCACAGCTACAACGTCTGGATTAGACATTCTATACAACACCTGCCTAGGTTCATCCTTCAGCTCTATCGAAAAAGAGGGTGAGGCTTAGCATCAGAAGTCAAATCAGCCTTCCTGATACTGTCCTGTCTCTGTCTGTGGACTGAGTCCCTCTGATGCCTCCATCACACGCTGTGTGTGCCTTCACTACGACACTTGACACATATCATTTGTGACAACTTTAACACTCATGAGTCCTCGTTCAGCTCAGCACAGGTACTGCACCAGAACAGGGCCCTTCCATATCTGAGTCTTAACCTTAGAGTTCTACAACAAGGGGAAAAATGGAAGAGAGCAATACTGAGGGAATGAGGCCCTAAAGGAACGAGCACACACAGCAGGGGATGCTAGAACTGAGGCAAGGGAGCCTCAGAAACACTGAGACAAGAAGATAGATTATGACCTAGCAGGGGCCCATCTGCCCTAGGCTTTCGACATCAGTTCTGGCACCAACATTACCTGACCCATCATTCAGTAAGCATGCCATGTGCCTGCCTGCCTTGGATAGGTCCCTAGAGGAGATACAGGAAGTTGTTCCTCAGATGTAGGTGTTCACAGTGCTGAATGGCCTTCCTCTTGACACTGAGAGGTTATAGACTATGCTATTCCATGTAGACATTCTTCCAAACAAACAAAAAAAGTTGACTTGCTCTGCTGCTGATGGTCAAGGATACAAAAAAAAAAAAAAATTAAAGCAGCTATCAACAATATCCAACTTCATTGAGGAGCACAGTCTAAAGCATTGAGGTACATTCATAAACCCATTCAATGTCTCCTCAGAAAAGCCCTATGAGCCACTATTCTTTGCCTTTCTTTAGCTGGCATATGTGCATGCAAGTCCTGGCCTTCCACAATGCTGCTATCTGCTTGATAATAATGACTGTGCCCTGAGGACTGTTGATTGGGTACTTGGCATGCACTGAGCAACAGCTCTCTGAGTAGGTAGCAGGTCTCGGAAAGATTAAAAAACTATAATAAGATAATCAGAGCTGAGATTTGTCTAGCATTGCAGCTTCAATGGATGCTTCCCAAAACACTTTATTGCATCTTATTAGAGCTTTGGGAAGACTTGTTGAGTGGAATTCATCACTCTTAGATAAGCCTTACAGCCTGAGTTCTGGTGCTCCTCTGATGGTTCCAAGTCTTGCTAACAGTGTGGCCTTTGGACTTCCACAGGACCAGCAGTGTTTGCCCCCTGGCACCACCTGAGGCTTCTATTGATTACAGTAAAATGCTTGATCTGCCTCACAAGTGCATTTGCAGGCTCTCTGCAAACCATTCGCTCAGCTCTCTCAGCTGAGGAATGGGGAAAGTATTAATTGTTGCAGAGTGCCTCCGGGAATACAAGACAGGGCAACATGATGAGAAATAAGTGTGGCCGAGGGAGAACCTTCAAGAAGAGAACCTAACATTCACCTCCCTCTACAAGGACAAACCTACCACCCCTCTGCCTCTCTCCATATCATTTTTATTGTGTCTCTGTAAAAGATTTCTGTTTCTAAAAAGATGACAGTTTCTAAGTGCCATCTACCACCACTTGGTTCTCTAGTTCTTTCAAATCAAGAGCCCTATAGAGACCGCCTCTATGTCTTTTAACTCACATTCTCAAAAGAGAGATTCTATTGGCTCATGCCACATGCCTGTTTGGAATCTGGTGCCTATCTTTAGTCCAATCAACTACAGCCATGTTATTTGCTACAAAATGGCTGCCAAATGCATTCTGTCAAAGGAAGCTGATTGAAGAAGGTATAGAATGCCCATAGTTTCTAGACCTGGAAGTACAGACTGGCCAGGTTCCCCAAGACAACACAAGTCTTGTACATCAGATCACACTGACAACTCTTAAAGTTTTAACGGCTGTATTTTGGAAGGCGTGCTTACCTGTCACAGTATAAGCTAACGGCCTGGTTTCATTATATTGGCTATCAGGTATTACCCTCACCAATCAGCCCTTCCTTTAAGTGGGGCTGCAGGTGGCCAAAACAGTCTAGTTAAGCATTCACATCTGATATAACAAGTTTCTCTTCTCTCCTCTCCCTCCAGTTTGGATTACCACCCTGCACCTGGCCCTTCTGCCTCTCAGCGCTCATCTTCCTTCTCCTTACAACCAACAACCCTGCCATCTACAAGCTCCCGCTCAGCAAAGTCACCTACCCAGAGGCCAACCGCATCTACTTCCTGTCCCAGGAGAAGAACAGAAGGGCATCAACCATAACAAAGTACCAGGCCTACGATGTCTCCTAAACTGTCCTTTCTAAATCATGCTACATACATGCAGTCTCCAGCACACGGGTCTGCACCCCATGCTAAGGTCACTCAACATCCCTTCTGTCTGATATGTATGTGGTCACTAGTTGGAAGCCTCAGTAAGATGCGCAGGACTCATCAAAGCCATGCTAGCTTAGACTAAATACCCACTGATGGCTCTCTGGGAACTCTCTTCACGGGAAACTTGCTAATCACCCCTTTCACTTATTTAGTGGAGCAAAGCATGATGCCAGGAAATCCTCATTAGTCTGCAAGGTAAGAGGGCCTGGTCCTTACCCTGCTCTGCTACTAATGAGTTCCAACAGTTTCAGGCCAGTCCTCTTCCCCCTTCCCCATGTCAGCCATGGGTTTCTTTACGACGAGGAGGAACTCCAAAGTCCTTCTACCTCCGAGATGTTTCTTTGCTATCTCCTATATCTCCCATATACTAATCAACTCAGCATGGCCAGCAAGCAATTGTCCTGAGTTGAGTTACTTAGAGAAGGTTCCCAGAGGACAGAGAGGAAAGTGTTAGTGTCCTCTGGAAGTTTATTTTTAGACATAGGAGATGCTTTCCAGACTTGGGGCTAGACACCTGAATTCATTGAAAATGCCAATGCACCTTCTCTGCGCCACAGGAATATCTCAGAAACATCATAAGGTAAACATTGATCTCTTCCAACAGCCAAATCATAGTGTAAACAAACATCTTTGCCTGTGTAATATTCAAAATCATAATCTCATTAAACTTGAAATTTGCAAGTTGATCTCTGGGTTTTTTTAAAACAGGGCTTACCTGCCCATTCATATAGAGTCCACCAGGGGAGCTTTCATACCCAGGCATGTGTCTGGAAAGAGAACAGGATTAAGGAAGACCTAGAAAGCAGCTGACTTTCCTGTGGAGAGCTACACATAAATGGCCATGCGCACTGTGCCCTGCGGTGTTGGTGCACATCAAACTCACATCACCTTTCAGCACACAGTCTTGGAGCCTTGGGCACCAAGATTGCTAGCCCAGCCCTTCTTGAACGGCCAGCCATGTCTTGCTTAGTAACTCTGAGTGTGCCTCCTACTGTGCCCTTAAGTTACAGTCATCCTTCATAGAAAGCCACTCAGCCCAACATTTCAGCCCTTCTCCAGAGGTGGAAGAAGCTCTTCTAACAAGAGTGAGACCTCCACACCTCTAGTTCAGCATGGTGAGGTGCCAAGATAGCAAGGGAGTCAGGGGCTGTAGGGATGGCTCAGCCAGGAAAGTCCTTGTTACACAAACGAGGGTCTGGGCCTCGAACCGAACACACGTATAAAAAGCTAGACTCGATGGTGTGCACCTGCAGTCTTAGCCATAGGGAGGCAGAGAAGGGCAGATTCCAAGAGCTGGCAGTCCATCGAGTCTTGCCACGTTGGTGGTGCTCAACTTTGACTTCTGGCCTCCATGTGCACCCAGTCACACACTTGTGACATACATGCGTGGCACGGAAGGGCGGCAGGAAAAAACAAGAAAACAGATTTATAAGTGCAGGTTTAAGGAAGAACTACATTTTATCATAATCCATTTTTTTTTACATTTTTTTATGGAGGCCTATAAATTTCTATTTCATTTCTCTGTATGCCAGCAGTCCCAGCCATCTTTTACCACCAGCCCAAGAGCACGGAGATGTATATTTCTCTTCCAGACCCAATCCAACCCTTTATGACTCTTCCAGGAAAATAGAGCACTCCTCCAAGCAGAAAAGTCCTTCACATAGGAAAAGGAAATGACTCACACTCCAGAGCTACCTCTGAGTTTGTGATCACACCTTGAGGCCACGAAGGTCCCAGGCTGTATTTTAATGACCATGGAATTATGGTTCTCTAAGGATCAAGCATTCGGGAATTTTGCCCAAAGGCTGTTTATGCTTGAAGCTTACTCAGCTGCCCCTCAGCCACCATGTGATGACATCTATCCATTAAAGAATGGGTCCTTGTGTATTTCCACCGAAGTTTTATAATCTGATTTTATTAAGAGTAGGAACCCTTCCATGTGTATGCCATTTTGATTACTGACCACTAATAAAATGCTTCAGCTGTTCTGAGTATTTCACTAGCTCACCTATAAAGCAAGCTGAGTTGGCCCAGAATTCCAAACAGGGGGGAAACAGATGGGGCGAAAGAATGCCTATGAAAGTATACGATGTCTATGAGATCCCAAGGTGGACTGTCAAGTCTAGCACTTCAGTGAAGCACTAGAAGTAAAGAGCTGGAGCCAGCTTGGCCAACTCCTAAGAGACAGCTGGGTGAGGGAAGCAGTCCTTCTCCAAGCCATTCAGTGACATCACCCTGATCACTCAAAAACAGCCCTAGTTTTATACCGCAGAAAATGGCAGACACTGCAAATCTGAGCAGACACAAAACAACACTGTTTTAAAGCACATGGGCAAACAAAACAGTATATTATAATATGGGAAGTATGTGACACAGTAAGGTATAAAAATAAAAACACACAGGCTTTCATTCACTCACGAGAAAGTCCTTGCGTGAACAGTGAAGCTGATTTACCCAAGGCTGAGATACACGATTAACTCAACTCCCTCAGGAAAAAAAAAAAAAAAAAAAAAAAAATTGCTTGGGGCAGATGCTGTTCTTTCTGTTGTTTGTCTCCTTCGTTCCTTAAACTAGCCTGTTGATGTCATGTAGTAGCTCTGTGGCATTGTTTATAATTGGCCAACACACATCCCCACTCCCTTGCCTTTGCAGCATTCGCTAACCCATCCGGGATAGAATTTTAACTCTGTTTTATACACAACAAACACTTATGTGCATACACAAGACTTTCCAACAGCCCAGCCCACCCAATCTCACCTCCAGGACTTACTGCCAGAGTCCTCCTTCTAACACATGTGTTCGGTGAACAGTCTGAAGAACAGTCTGTACCAACTGGCTCCAAACTCACCATCAATTCGTGAGCAATAACTGTGAGCCCTGTACAGCCTTCCACAAACATCCTATCCTTACACATTCCCACTGCAGGGTGTGGCTCAGTGGTCATGCACAGTTCCCTTACTGACCTTGAACCCCTAAATCATATGATAGTCTCAGGGGGAGACAGGTAGATGGTATATCAGGGCCAGTTGGGGTCCAGTGTGTGTTTAGAACTGCACAAAACAGAGATGACTATGCTGCCTCTCAGGAGTAGATTCAGCCATGGTAGCAGAGGTGAGAATGGGCCTCTCTGTGACGTCCTTAGGTCATAGACGTTGTGAGTCACACTCTGAGAAACTCATTTACAAATGCCTCCAGGAAACTCTTCCCCTTTCTGTTGCACCCTGCGATGAATTGGCTGGTCATTGTTGTGCACAAAGGAATCATCTATGGAGCTTCCTAAAAATATAGACCCTGAGCCTCAGCCCCAAAGATGCTTGTTCAGCAGATCCAGATGGATTCAAGATTCTGAGCTTTCCCATCATCTCTTGAATGTTATAAATTGTGCTGGATCAAGGTGCACAAGCCATTGAGATCACTGCACAGGTTTATCAGGTAGATGAGCATCATCCAGATCAGCTGCACAAGCCTGTCCTGGACCAAGCAAGTCATCAGCAGTCATGGACATAGGTGTGTTCCTAATGTGCCCAGGGTGTGTTCCAGTGTGCACCCAGGCTTGAAAGCAACTGTGGGTTCTGTTTTCTGAGTCCCAATCTGCTTATATAAGAGTCATTCCTGAAGATTCTTATGTCCTCAGTCCCCATTCTCATGGGGCATAGTGAGGAACACTGGGTACTAACAGGCAGGAGGAAGTGAGAAACTTCCAAAATGAAGTCTCTCTCTCAGCAAGAGTTGGGGGCTAGCTCTGCACTCTAACGGAAACTGAAGAAAAATGAAACCACTAACCAGAAGCATCCGGCTCAAGAAACCAAACAGAGAAGCAAGGTTTTGCATTGTCCCCAGAAGCTGAGTGTGCACAGTGGACCTAAAGGAAAAGCACAACAGAGGAGTAGGCCTCAGCCCCTCCAGCCACACTGCAGAGGCACAGTGGGAGCAGAGGAGGGCATGGCAGTCCTGCTGAGATACAGCAGGCACACCTGTGAGCAGGTAGGATGGAGGGCTGTCCCACGGGTGGAGCTAGAAGACAGGGGGCAGGGAGCTGTGGAGGTGGTGACAGCAGCTGTTACAGGAAAAGGAGCCTGCCCCGTGCAGACAAGCAGGCAGGAAGTCCCAAGCGGGACCGTTTGAGATAAGAAGGAAAAAGATGGAGACAAGCAGGACATAGGAGAAAGACCAAATGCCGCTGGGTTTGTAGTACCAGAATAAGAAAGGAGTCGGGGAGGAAACAGATTGTTGTTATGATGTAAGAGTGAGGGGTTATAATCCCCAGAGCTGCCTGGTTCACAGATCGCCAGCGGAGAAGGGGGTGGCTCTCAGTCCCTTCCCCAGCGCTTAGCTTCTTGAGGGGTCTGTCCGAAGCTTGAGGCACAATGCTGCAGAAACGGTTTGGTCCTGCATAGGCTGGCCTGAGCAGGTACAGACAGGAGTGTTAGGGGACAAGGAGGTAGGCAGCTCGTGTGGGGAGCATGGAAAAACCCTGGTGCTCTGGTCTCAGCCTGGCCCCATCAGAGCACTAGGGTGTGCCCAGGTGTGAACAGGTGTGAACGGTTTGAAGAGCTCCCAGAGGGTGCCGTGTGCAAGAGTGCTGCACACCCTTGGAAGTCGAGCAGCCCCTACACTGTCAACACTGGGAGGGAGTCATCAAGGGCGAGGAGACCAGGCAGCTTGATTTTTTTTAACTGAAAATATTTTTTCCATACACTATATTCTGCTCACAGTTTCCCATCCTCCTTCTCCTCCCAGATCCTCCCCACCTTAATATATAAGCAAAAGAGCAGTAAGGTTTAAAAAATGCCCAAATGAAGCTTTATGAGAAAAAAAATTCCAAAATATCATTGTGTTCACTCGTACTGCTGGCATGGTGCCTGCCCTGGAGTGTAGTTTATATACCGAGTAAGACTCCCCTGAAGAACTGATTT